ATATTTACATAGAAAACAGTTATTTCAAATTGCAATAATATTGCACAACTTTACTGTTTTTACTATTTTTTTTAATCAAAAAAATGCAGCCTCTGTGACCATAGTATGGAAGCCCGTTTCCGCCACTGAATAAAAAATAAAAGAGGTAATTGCGACTTTTTATCTCACAATTCGGACTTTTTTTCTCAGAATTGCGTGATACAAACTCGCAATTCAGACTTTTTTTCTCAGAATTGCGAGATATAAACTCGCAATTGCGAGAAAAAAAGTCACAATTGCGAGAAAAAAAGTCAGAATTGCGAGATAAAAAGTTGCAATTACCTTTTTTTTAATTTTTTATTCAGTGGCGGAAATACCATAGAGACTTCTTTCAAAAACATTAAAAAATCACAGCGACCCCAAACTTTTAAACAGTAGTTAATGCATTAGTTCTGTGGGTTTTATGTAACGTCTGGTATCTGCACAGGTATTTTGGCTTTATTACCAAACATCCAGCGGACGAGAGGTTCGCCTGTCACGTCTTTGTGTCGGAGAACTCCACCAAACCGCTTGCAGAGTCTGTGAGGTCAGTCTGCTTTATCTTGGCTTGACGAAGGCTTGACTGTTTAATAGTGATGGGAAGTTCGGATCATTTTACCGACTCGGACCTTTGAGTCTCGTTCAGCAAAATGAACGACTCTTTTTTCGAGTCATTTCGTTCATTTTAGCAAAATATAATTAAAATGTTACGTGTTACTTCCCTAACACTCAAAACTACTAATAAATCCCATAGACTTTCACTGAGGGGCATCAAAACTTTCGTACAATAACACATATAGGCCCGGTTTCATAGACAGGGCTTAGCCTAAACCAGGATTAGGCCATAGTTCAATTACTAATTTTTATAAACATGACACGTGTTTAAACATGTCAAAATCATGCGAGCAACATGCTAAAACATGCTAGCAACTTGTTAAATCATGCTAGCAAGCTGCTGTATTATGCTAGCAACCTGTTAAAACATACTAGCAATGTGTTAAATCTCGCTAACAACATGTTAACTCATGTTAGCAACAATTAAACCATGTTAGCAATGTGTTAAAACATGCTATCAACATGCTAAACCATGTTAGCAATGTGTTAAAACATGCTAGCAACATGTAAACTATGCTATCAATGTGTTAAAACATGCTAGCAACATGCTAAAAATGTGTTAAATCTTGCTAACAACATGCTAAACCATGCTAGCAACATGTTAAAACATACTGTGTTAAAACACAGCAGCGAAGTGTTAAAACATGGCAGCACCATGTTAATTTATGTTAGCAACGTGCTAAAACATGTTATCAACTTGCTAAACATTTTAGCAATGTTTAAGACAACATTTTAATAGCATTCTATTGACTTGTTATTGAGTGAAATCTTCAAACTGTAAGCTTTTTAAAGTTTCAAACAAGGTTTCATAGACAGGGCTTAGCCTAAACCAGGATTGGGCCATAGTTCAATTAGGACATTTAAGTAATTTTTATAAACATGCCTTAGAAAAAAGCATTACTGGTGTGCATCTTGAGATAAAACAAAGGCACTGACATGTTTTAAGATCAGTCAGTGCAAGTTTCTTTCAGTTGAAACAGCTCAGATTTACATTTTAGTCTAGGACTAGGCTTAAGCCTTGTCTGTGAAACTGGGGGATAGAGTATTTCTTTTAAAACATGCTCGCAACATGTTAAATCATGCTAGCAGTGTGCTAAGACATACTAGCAATGTGTTAAATCATGCTAGAAATGTGTTAAATCATGCCATCAACATTCTAAACCATGCTAGAAACATGCTAAATCATGCAAGCAGCATGTTAAAATATGTTAGCAATGTGTTAAATCATGCTAGCAGGATGCTGTATCATGCTAACAACATGTTAAAATATGCTAGCAATGTGTTAAATCACGCTAGCAACGTGCTGAGCTGTTAACAAAATGTTAAACTATGCTAGCAACATGTTAAAACATGTTAGACACGTGTTTAAACATGTCAAATCATGCGAGCAACATGCTAAAACATGCTAGCAACTTGTTAAACCATGCTAGCAAGCTGCTGTATTATGCTAGCAACATACTAGCACTGTGTTAAATCTAGCTAACAACATGTTAACTCATGCTAGCAACATGTTAGCAATGTGTTAAAACATGCTAGCAACATGCAAAATCATGCTAGCAACATGCTAGAAATATGTTTAAATCTGTCAAACCATGCTAGCAACATGCTAACAATGTGTTAAATCTTGCTAACAACATGCTAAACCATGCTAGCAACATGTTAAAACATACTATCAATGTGTTAAAACACAGTAGCGAAGTGTTAAAACATGGTAACACCATGTTAATTTATGTTAGCAAAATGCTAAAATTTGTTAGCCACTTGCTTAAACATTTTAGCAATGTTTAAGACAACATTTTAATAGCATTTTATTGACTTGTCATTGAGTGAAATCTTCAAACTGTAAGCTTTTTAAAGTTTCAAACAAGGCTTTGTCAAGCCAACATTAATGTTTGTTTATAAACTTTACTCATGTGCTACAATATAATGCATCTGTAATATATTGCACTCAATTCTTTCATTCTAAAACGTTTTATTGGCTCAGAAAGTGTTTATTAGTATATTCTCTGTCTTCTTTAACAGGAAAGCTTTCCAGTTGTACTATAAAGAGTTTGTGGAGGTCTCGTGTCCAACAGAAGACATCTACCTGGAATAATCTCTGAATACAACGCAGCAGTGAATATTACGACTATGCTACATGAGTATATGAGAAATAATAATATGTATATAATCAAAAGACTAATATATCTGACAAAAAGGACCAAACGAGATGAAGAGTGACTGACTGAGGGTTGTAACGTGATGCACATGACCTGGTTTTGTGTAGACGCACAAAAGAAGAACCAAATGAAAAATTGTACAGTAAAAAAGACTGAAATTATTTTCCAGATATTGATGATTTTGGATGCTTTGGATGAGGCTTTCATCCGTTTCTCTGCTCTTGCTACTGCGCTGCGCTTCAGGCTTCATAGAGGATATTTTTTCATTGCACAAAACCATGCATTCTCATAAAATATTAGTAAAACATATAAACGGTCACCAGTTTAACGAGACGAACAAATCTGCCATTTCAGCTGCTTGTGATGTCTTGATGTCTGTTGTGTTTTACAGGTATACCAGCATAATTCATTCCTAAAACAAGCCTGCAAAGGGAAATTCATAAGTATTATTCATTTGAAACGGTAAAATAGGACTCCTTTGTTACGCAGTTAGTCACCAAACTGAAAGACAGATCTATACATAGCTACAAAGGAGTTACAGGGCAATTTTATCATATTAATAGAAGTCATTAACAGCTGATCAGAAAATGTTTTAGGACTTTCAGTATTGCTTTTGGATCACGACATTCCCTCTTATAAGTGCAATGGAAATGGTTAAACTAAATAATAATAATATTAATAATAATAAATACTAGTGCCACGGGGCTCCTGTTAAAGCTCGAAGGTAAATGATTTTGGAAGAGCTGCGTTTTTTTTGGCTTGGTTTTAATAAACTCCTGAGGCATTTCTTGTGAAAGCAAGACCTTACATCAGTGCGAACAAATTATGTACAAATGATGTGCTCATTAAAGGCTTGTTCATCAAGGCACATTTGTAGATCACTTGTTTTATTTAGATACCAATATACTACAAACTAAATATATTTAATGGAGATAATACATGTTCTACATTTGTTTTCCAGATGTTAATATTGCGCATTTCTGTGAAAGGCTTATGAATCATTATAAATAACAATATGTACAATTTTAATCAATACTTGGAAAGGTTTTTTTATGCAGAGGGTGCCAGCGACCTGGGGTTTGTTGTTGTTTCACTTCACAGCATGATATTAAATTAAATTAAATTATTTTTTAATCTTGGTCAAGCAATATTTAATTCATTAGACCCTATCACTCATTCTTTGAATGTTACAATGTTTTTTCACAGCTTTTTTATGCAGATAACAGACCAGATCCTTTAATATTTAAAACAGGTTTGAGTATAATTAAATGGAAATGTATTACTATTTACAATTAATCCCCTTTATACTGCAACGGGCAAGTAAGCGGTTTTCTGTGAATGTGCCAGACTTCCGTTCATTAGCCTAATTAGAAGAATAACAAAGCCCTACAAACCAGTGTGTTTATGATATTACATTAAAATAATATGATAATACCACTTTGCAATTAAGCAGAATAAGGGGCTGTTTTTGTACAACCTGGAAGCAAATGATACCGGAAGTCCTGCACATTCAAGTTAAGTGACGCATTTACGTTAAAAATAATTATAAATGCCGCGATAATAAAGTCAATTATTACACTGCATTTAATTATACTTGCACCACGTCAAGTTTCTTTTTACCTGCTGTTGCGAAGCCTTTTAGCCAATCAGAGTTGAGCACATGAATGCGACGGCCAATCAGAGGCGTTTCAATTAAAGTTTATTTTTACCTGCTGTTGCTAAGCCTTTTAGCCAATCAGAGTTGAGCACATGAACGTGACGGCCAATCAGAGGCGTTTCAATTAGTCGCCACGCAGAAGATCCGCTCAAAACGCCAGTTTTGCTCAATGCATGTACACTTGTCATTTTAATAAGTCAACAACATCCAGATAGTCACAGTTTACGTGCCAAAACCTCATCTGTGTTACCCAGTTAGACATTATCTGATAAAATAAGCAGAATTCACAGCTGCTCCTCACAGACTTAATTTATACGCATTCAAATGGCATCTAGCCTGATGAAGGTCTATTGCATTATCTGTTCCCTGCTTCACAAAACTTAATTTTGTCAATTAGTCGCCACGCAGAAGATCCGCTCAAAACGCCAGTTTTGCTCAATGCATGTACACTTGTCATTTTAATAAGTCAACAACATCCAGATAGAGTCACAGTTTACGTGCCAAAACCTCATCTGTGTTACCCAGTTGGACATTATCTGATAAAATAAGCAGAATTCACAGCTGCTCCTCACAGACTTAATTTATACGCATTCAAATGGCATCTAGCCTGATGAAGGTCTATTGCATTATCTGTTCCCTGCTTCACAAAACTTAATTTTGTCATCACTAACGATCATGGACTTCTTAGTAGCTCAACAGACTCAAGGATTCGTTCCATCTGTATGAGACAAACACATTTACTGTGACACACAACAGACCGTTATACACAATAATACGCAGCGACTCACTGCTCAAGACAAAAATGATAGACACATATCTGAAAACTTTATTTACATGGTCTCAAACATGAAACTTGATTATGGCACATTTCTACTGGCAAATGCACCACGTTGTCAGCTGGTCAAAGCAGTTTTGGTGAGACGTCAATGGTGTTGATCCGTAATACGGTCTGTGGCTGAATAATGACTGTGGAGGGAAAAAAGTTGAATGAATGCATTGATGAAAAATTCAAACCATGAAAGACTAAACATCTATTTTGGATTTATTGTTCCTCATACTTCTCTTTCTTTGGAATCGATGTCTCTTCCAGAATCTCATGTGAACCATTGGCCAGGATTCGGTCTTCTCAATCACCGTAGCGTGAACTTGTACTAAATCACGGCTGAGCATCAGAGGAATATAATAATATAACATAAGCTCTACTAACAGAATCTGAGTCAATTACCACAGAGAACAAATGAATAACTGACAGAAAGATAAAGTGTCATCAGATATTCAACTAAAACCTATCAATGCATAAAAGTGACTTTTCATGAACCCAAAAAAAAAATAAAAATGTATATATATATATTTGTTTTAAATGTAGATGCACCAAACTTTTGTGTCCATTCTACCACGTCTATATAAATCCACAATCCATCATAACATCAGCCCATGCATAATGTCAGAAATATGCACAAACTCAAACCAGATGGTAGCAAAGCACGGTTTCACAGCACTGTACCTACAGTAAAACTCGTTTTCTAGCAAGAATACAATTTTGTATTGTCTATTATAAGTGTATTTCTGCACACATTTTTGGTTTGTTTTGCATGGAAATGCGGAGCATTTAAACACTAAAACTCACGAATGTCTTATTTTCCACTAAGTAATGCACTGGGTATTTAAATGCAAGTATGTGATCGTCAGACTTGTGCATAAAATAAACCAAAGATTATTTATTAGGAAAATACAATGACAGAATATACAACATTGTGCCATGGCAAACTGCTAATTATTATAAATCATTTTTTTCTTAAACTGAGGTTAAAACAATTACGTGTTAATCTTGCATCTTTACACATGGTGTCAGTTTTTATTAATTTAATATGAGGTTTATACAGTCATAGTTTCAAACTAGTGAAACTAGAATTACATTTGCATCTTACCTGAGAAGTGGTTTTCCAACAAGAGTGAAATCATTTCCTCCAACTAACAGCACCTGCAAAGAAGCGTTAGCGTGAAAACTTCGATTACTATACAAATATGTATCTTGTGTTGCATGCAAATAGAAGGTAACAAAACTAACAGAATTCAGGAAAAACATGCATCTACTAAGTTCAGGAATAATGCCACGGAGAACGTGCACTTGTTGCGTAGCTTGTAAAACGCCATCTTTTTTGCATTTACCGTAACGTCTTGAATTACGCACAGTATATTTGTTGAATTATTTCTCAGTATCAGCCAAATAATGAATGATATGTAACTGGAATAATCTTCAGGCATGTGACCTCAAAAACAAAATGACTTAAAATACATAGGCAATAATAATTAGTTCAAATAAAGTATCAAAAGCTGTTTTTATTGAGCAAAACTGTTCAAATACATAATGTATTATAAATAGTGCTGTCAAACGATTAATCGCATTCAAAATAAACGTTTTTTTTAAATGTAATATATGTGTGTACGGTGTATATTTATTATATATATGTAAATACACACATACACGTATATATTTTGAAAATATGCACATGTATTTACATGTATTTATATATATATATATTATAAATATATTTAATATACAAATATAACAATTTTCTTAGATATATACATGCATGTGTGTGTATTTAAATATACACAGTACACACACACATAATTTGTAAACAAAAACTTTCATTTAGGATGCAACTAATAGCGATTAATCGCTTGACAGCACTAATTATAAACAAGAGCTAATGTACATTACGCATTATAACAAATGCCAGCAGAGGGCGCCAACGGCCTGGCGATTGCTTTACACTTTACTGCGTAATCTAATATTGACATTTCATTCAAATGTCCACTTAATCTTCAATATTTGGTTATTTCATTATGATAGAAAAGCCACAGCAACTGTAATTTCTTCAATATGTGGACATCAAAACGTGTGAACTCAGAGAGAGAGTTTGAGCTTTTATTTTGAAATCGCGATGAACAGTTAGCATATTAAAAAAAGATACTGATGTATTCTCCTGGGTTTGCGCAGATATAAATCATTTACCTTACAAATCTGATTAAATGAACGTTATAATAAACCCAAACTCACAACAACATGCAGGGATGGAGCTTGAGACGCTCCTCAGATGTAAATGATAACAGTTTGTGTGGAGCAGCATTTACTGTGAACCTACACGCATGTAAATAATTAAAGTGCATATATTAAACCTGCATATATTTAATTAAATCGTAGCGTTTGTGAATTCTTAATAGCATGATGCTTTAATATGATTTTGAAATGGGTTTAATATGTGACACTGGAGCACAAAAGCAGTTCCTAACAAACCATACATCAATGGAAAGCTTATTTATTTCGAAAAATTGACACTTATGTCTGGTTTTGTGCTCCAGGGTCACATTTGTGGAACGCACCACTTCCGGTATTTTGCAGATTCCTCGACATTGCCAAAATGCAATCGAGGATTTTTTAAAATCGAATACTCAAATAGAATCAAGGATTCATTGAAGCCCTAAAAATCGTACATATCGTGCCTTTAAATCTTGGAATGTCCTTAAAATTGTTTAAGGACCCAGCTGGCCATTTGGATAACGACGACGACGACCCAAAAACATTTACATGGATCATCCCACTGAGGTCAGAAAACACTGAAATCCCATCCCCGAGTCTTTGCATCTGCAGTCCAGTGAGCTGTACAGTAACCCGTGTGTGAATCTGAATGCAGTGTTTGAGTGGATGAGAAAACCTTCTCCATTCTTATGCTGTCGCCACACGCCGCATCAATGTGGTTTTCGATGAGGATCAGGTCTTCATCGGTCACTTTCCACTGACGGCTGGCGAAATGAACCACAGCAAACAAGCGTCCGCACTCTCCCTTCTCAATCAGCCCGTTCACCTTCTGCACGATCGCTGTGAGAGACGGCATTAAAACACAAGAACATCCGACTCAAAATCAGCAAAACTCTCTCGTTCTGCTTTCAGGGTATTTACAGAATGACGGAATAAAATGCAAGACCTTCAAATGCTAAAATGAATAAAAACTAGTGCTGTCAAACGATTAATCGCGATTAGTTGCATTCGAAATAAAAGTTTTTGTTTACATTATATATGTGTGTATAATGAATATATAAATACACACACATGCATGTATATATTTTGAAAATATTTACATGTATATATTTATATTCACAGTTTATATTATATATAAATATATTTAATATATAAACAACATATTTTTCTTAAATATATACATGCATGTGTGTGTATTTATATATGCATAATAAATATACACAATACACACACATATATAATGTAAACAAAAACTTTTATTTTGGATGCGATTAATCGTTGCCCAGCACTAATATAAATATACATATATATAATAATAATATATATAGATATAAAGAATATAGATATATAAAAAGATAATTTTGCAAAAGCGTTAGTTTACAAGTGTCTCAAACCGTTCTGTCCCCAAATTCCATAATTAAGATTTTTAACAATATTTAAGACTTTTGTAATGCAATATCAGAATTAAAGGCATGCTTTTTTATAAACGTGGTCCACGTTAATTGGTTTTCACTGCAGTTATTCAACTAGGAGCCAATTTCACTATATTTATGGCATGTTAAAATCATCACTGCTCGTCTGAATATAAATGCTTTTTGAGAAAGTTAGCAACCAGGTGTCAAGTACATCAGGTGCGAGCAAAGCAATCATTTAGCTCAATTTTCACACATTTTTAGCGGTCACAGCTGAGCTCAGATCAGCCAAACACTTGCCTTGATGCCGTCTTTCCTCTTCTTCAGGATCAAATGCAGGTAGTTCAGGCCACGGCGGTCTGGAGAGTGACGTCTGTGGAACATTACTGTAACAGCACATTAAACTAGGTATGCATACTAAATACACAGCATGACTTAATATATATAAGAACATGGCAACTATTACATGTCCTCAACAAGTCTGAAAAATGAAAATATTCTTTGAGGTATACAGACCAACAGCAGACCAATAGCTGAAAAGGCTTATGTTATAGTTTAAGGGATCTCAAAAGAGAGCAGAACACGCATGCACACTACAAGATGATGTTTACCTGGCAGGATAAATGATGCTGCTGGAGCTCTGAAAGCCAAAACCACCTGCAACACGAGACGGGGACGATTCAGACAGATATATACAGTGATGCATGAGAGACCCTGGCAATAATTTCTCTAAGTCAACCCTTTCGAAAAATTCACATTTCAACTTTTAACGAAACGTTTAAATACTGTTTTTCCTCGAAAGAGTTGAAACTGACACCGAACTGAAGGAATAACCCTTCACACACACTCACACACACACACACACACTCTCT